TTTTTTTATAAGGTCCAGTTATCAGTGTGTTAAAACTGACTCTATATAACCAAAAGCAGATCTCTCTTTCAATACTGTATTTTGATAGACCGTTCTTCAGGACCATATTCGAAGGAACGGGTAAAGATGCTAACTGGACCGTATCAACAACGGAGGAAGAGCGAAAACAGATGTTTGAGAACTCGCCTATTGCACACGTCGAAAAGGTTTTCTGAACTACTCAGTGCTGACTTCGTCAACTGAGACTTTTTCAGGTTATTACCCCTTACCTGCTTCTGATTGGAGAGAAGGATCTGCGTGTCGCACCTCACTATCGAGCTTTCATACGGAACTTGTTGGCTCGAGGCGTTCCATGCAAGTGCGTTGAGTGGCATGCTCGAGAAATTAGCCATATTTGATCTTTTTGAGTCACTACTGCTTGGTTTTTACAGAATCCTGACCTATCCGGAATCAGCTCATCCGATTGAGGAAGTGGATGCCTATGCGGACTCTACGATCAACATCATTAGATGGTTCCAGAAGTCTCTGAAATAAGGGCTGCACGCAATTGCCACTATTTTCCAGCCGTGTAGCAATTACTGGATGAAAAAAATTCGCTTTTAATCTGATACACTCCTCCTTCTTAATCATCGTTATCTCTTGTCACTCTTCCTCGGTGAAGTTTTATTCTTAACCCCAGATTTTGATGAGATCTATATATTTTGATAATAATCAAGTTTTGATAATTGCATCTACTTTACATATTCCTATGCCAATGCTAATAAATATCTTAACTTCCTTCTTTTGGTATTCTTTGAAGATGACAAACGGTCCGTGACGAAAAGTCTGTAGACATGTGCACTTATACTTATTGTTAGAACGAAACAAAAAAATAATTATGGTACAGGCTTTGGCAATTCAATCACTTTGATAGCGTTGCATCTCAATATTCGCAAAAAATTGAACAGCGTCAAGTCATTTATTACCCTAAAATCCCGCAGATAAGTCCTCCCTTTTTGTCAA